TTTGGTCTGTCTTGGTCTGTCTTAGTCAATCAGTTTCCTTCCCCCAAATCCATTAGATTTTTGTGACAGGAGTTAGTTTAGGGATTGCTGTTTAATCTGTTTTAGTAAAAAAAAAGAAAAAAAAGTATAAAAAGAAAATTTGTGTGTTTGTAATTTGTTTTAGTCGTGTGTAAAACATGCAGCGTATGTATAACTTGCAGGAGGCATATGCCTTCTTGGCGTCAGACTCTGATGCCACTGACACTGCGTCAGATTTTGACCCAGGTCAGTTTTCTGACACGTCTAGTCAAGATGACATGTCATCTGTGTGTGAGCCGGCTGAAGAAAGAAGCTTCCTTTGCTACGCCGAATGTGGAGGAGGACTGGGTACCTCCACAGTTAGCCAAGCCCAACGTCCCCCCTTTTAGTGCCAACGCAGGCATTAATGTTAATGTGGATGGCTTCTCCCCAAAGTAGTATGTAGAACTATTTTTAGGGCATACCATCTGGGAGGAGATTGCTTCCCTAACTTGTTTGCTACCCAATTTATTGATAACAATCCAGGTAGCTATACAGTCAGGGAGCATGACTGGCATCCCACAGATGTCCCAGAGCTTAAAAAATTCTGGGCTCTTACAATGCTCATGGGGATTATAAAGAAGCCATCAATTCGCTCATACTGGAGCACCAACCCAATAATGTCTAGTCCAGTATTCTCCTAAACCATGCCAGATCCGAGTTACTGCTGAGATTTTTACATTTCAGTGACAATACCCTCTGTCACCCTAGAGATCACCCCCAATGTGATAGGCTTTATAAAATATGCCCACTGCTAGACCATTTTCAGGACAAATTTTCAGATGTTTATACCCCCCAACAAAATTTATCCATAGATGAATCTCTAATGAAATACAAATGGAGATTAGGGTTCAGACAATACATCCCCTCAAAGCGCTCTAGGTATGGCATAAAACTGTACAAACTGTGCGAGAGCGAAAGTGGATACACATTTGCCTTTCGTGTTTATGAGGGGAAAGATGGTCAACTGGACCCTCCTGGCTGTCCTGACTCCCTGGGGACAAGTGGGAAACTTGTATGGGACCTACTAAACCCCTTGTTTAACAAAGGTTACTACCTTTATGTGGATAATTTTTATAGTAGTGTCCGTCTGTTTAAAACACTTTATGGTTTACAGACACTGGCCTGTGGCACTGCCAGAAAAAAATCCAAAGACTTTCCACAATCTCTCATAGAGGCAAAATTATAAAAAAGGCGAATGTAAAGCACTTCACAAAGCTGAAGTGCTTGCACTAAAATGTAGGGACAGGAAGGATGTCAACATGCTAACCATCCATGACGAACGCATGTCAGACGTCTCTGTCCGGGGCAGAGTAGAGTCCAAACCGGTTTGCATCAGGGTGTATAATAAGTACATGGGGGGTGTTGATTTGGCTGATCAGCTGATGCAGCCATATTGTATTTTATGAAAAACCAAAGCATGGTATAAAGAGGTGGCTATCTATATGATGCAAATAGCAACCCACAATTTATTTTTGCTTTTTTAAAAAAAAAATAATAATCCAGGGAAAACCACCTTTCTCCTATTTCAGTTGAAATAATTTCTTTAACAATTTACGGAGATGGACAAGTTCCAACAATGGTGCAAGCTGAGTCCAGACATTTTATTTTTAAGTTACCGCCAACTGCTAGAAAAAAAAACCCCCAGAAACATTGCCGGGTCTGTTTTAAAAACGGGAAAAGGACAGACACCACTTTTCACTGTCCTGATTGCTCTTCGAAACCAGGACTGTACCACACAGAACAGTTGTAAGAAGTGTTCCTGAATTTTTATTTTATTTTTTGTTTCTTTGGAAAGCAGCCATTTTTTGCTAGTCAGTTTCCTTCCCCCAAATCTCCAGTTAGATTCTATTTGAAGGAGTCAGTTTAAAGATTGCTGCTAAATGTACATTTGCTACCTGCACATTTGGTCCAACAAGTTTTCTGGCAGTAACACATGACCAGCTGGCCAAAACCAGATGACGTGTGCATAAAAACCAGAATTAAAAAATTACCACTACACTTTCTTTGGGGGGCAAAATGGTTGTGGAAAAGAAGTCAAAACACCCCATCTTCTATAACCATTGATGTCTACTTTATAAAAATATATACTATATATACTGTCATGATGGTAACATTAACTGGGGGGTGCAAAAATATGTCAAACTGAAGATAAACCAAGCATACCTATATATCAAGTTGAAAAACTGACATGTACAAGTTCTGATTGTTGCCTTTTGGCCCCCAAACAACCCAGCAACCCTATACATGGGGGGTATCACTTTACTCGGGAGATGTTGCTAAACATATTGGGCAGTGTTTGAGGTGGGTAAAATACATTGGCTCAAATGGGACATGGGCGCAGGTTGATTACATGTCAAAATTCCAAGTTGGGAAACTGATTGGGAAGTGCACCTGCCAAACCCCTCAAAGAACCCCACAAGTATCACTGTATTCAGAAGATCTTGCTGAACACATATTGGGGTGTTGTTTGGCAGTGATACATAACAGGATCTGTTAATTCATGCCTAAAGTACAATGTGTGTGAAAAAAACAGAAAAAAATTACTAACTCAATGTTTGACAAAGCCTGGTGGTAGAATTAGTGCATGGAAAGTGTTAAAACACCACCATGTGAAATACCCTAGGGTGTCTACTTTTCAAAAATATATGGTTTGATGGGGGTAAAATACATTGGCCGGCTTCAAAAAATGTCCCAAATAGGACATGCATGCAGGTTGACTACATGTCAAAATTCCAAGCTGGGAAACTGATATGCTCACCTGCAAAATGTGGCCTTTTAGCCCCCAAACAACCCAACACACCTATACATGGGGGGTATCCCTGTACTTGGGAGATGTTGCTGAACACATATTGGGGTGTTGTTTGGCAGTGACACATAATAGGATTGGTTAATTCATGCCTAAAGTACAATGTGTGTGAAAAAAACCCAGAAACAATTTATTAAAGGACCACTATAGTGCTAGGAAAACATACTCGTTTTCCTGGCACTATAGTGCCCTGAGGGTGCCCCCACCCTCAGGGTCCCCCTCCCGCCCGGCTCTGGAAGGGGGAAAGGGGTTTAAACTTACCTTTTCCCAGCGCTGGGCGGGGAGCTCTCCTCCTCCGATCCTCCCCGCCGGCTGAATGCGCACGCGCGGCAAGAGCGGCGCGCGCATTCAGCCAGTCGCATAGGAAAGCATTTACAATGCTTTCCTATGGACGCTGGCGTGCTCTCACTGTGAAAATCACAGTGAGAAGCACGCAAGCGCCTCTAGTGGCTGTCAATGAGACAGCCACTAGAGGATTAGGGGGAAAGCTTAACCCATTAATAAACATAGCAGTTTCTCTGAAACTGCTATGTTTATTAAAAAATGGGTTAACCCTAGCTGGACCTGGCACCCAGACCACTTCATTAAGCTGAAGTGGTCTGGGTGCCTAGAGTGGTCCTTTAACACAATGTTTGACAAAGCCTGGTGGTAGAATTAGTGCATGGAAAGTGTTAAAATACCACCATGTGAAATACCCTAGGGTGTCTACTTTTCAAAAATATATGGTTTGATTGGGGTAAAATACATTGGCCGGCTTCAAAAATTTCCCAAATAGGACATGCATGCAGGTTGACTACATGTCAAAATTCCAAGCTGGGAAACTGATATGTGCACCTGCCAAATGTGGCCTTTTAGCCCCCCAACAACTCGACACACCTATACATGGGGGGTATCCCTGTACTCGGGAGATGTTGCTGAACACAAATTGGGGTGATGATTGGTAGTGACACCTAACAGAATCGGTGAATTTATACCTGAATTGCAATGTATGTGAAAAAAATTAAAAAAAATAAACTACCTATGCAAAGTTTGGCAAATGTTTGTGGTAAAATGGCTGCATAGAAAGTATCAAAATATTCTTAGATGAATACCCTGGGTTATCTAGTTTAAGAAAAATATATACATGTGTTTTTTTTTGGAGATTTATGACATAACAGTGTTACAATGTCACTATTGATAGATTTCAAAAATGTACATTTTGAAACGGCAATTTCCTACTTGTACTTTTAGCCCTATAACTTGCAAATAAAAGCAAAAAAACACACAAACATTGGGTGTTTTTAAACTCAGGACAACATTTTGAATTTAATTAGCAGTTTGTTTCATTCGATTTTGTAGATCAGTAAAAGATTTTTTAAGTAAAAATCAAAAAAAGTAAATTTTTTTATTTTTCACCATATTTTATTATTATTTTTTAATTAAATTATATGACATGATAAAAATAATAGTATGTAAAGAAAGCCCTTTTTGTCCTGAAAAAAACAATATATAATTTGTATAGGAACAGTAAATGAGAGAGCGGAAAATTACAGCTAAACACAAACACCAAAAGTGTTAAAATAGCTCTGGTCCTTAACAAACATCGCAAAAACAGTCCGGTCCTGAAGGGGTTAAATGTGCAGTGTTACTGTACTGGGGGGACCTGGGGAGGTCCGAAAACCAGTCAGTATCTGGTGTGACCACCATTTGCCTCACGTAGTACAACACATCTCCTTCGCATAGAGTTAATCAGGTTGTGGATTGTGGCCTGTGGAATGTTGGTCCACTCCTCTTCAATGGCTGTGCGAAGTTGCTGGATATTGGCAGGACCTGGAACACGCTGTCAGGGCCGGACTGGGGATACGAAGCAGCCCTGGAAAAAAATCTATGCCAGCCCCATAAGTCATTGTGCTATGTAGGAGGGTGTATATATATATATATATATATATATATATATATATAGGCAATTGAAATAGTTGGCTGCACTCTCGGATTTCCTGAAAATGTAACTTTTATTGAAATATTTAAGAGAAGATCAATGTTTCAGTCCCTCTTGTGGACTTTCGTCAGGATCATGACGAAAGTCCACAAGAGGGACTGAAACGTTGATCTTCTCTTAAATATTTCAATAAAAGTTACATTTTCAGGAAATCCGAGAGTGCAGCCAACTATTTCAATTGCCTATATATATATATATATATATATATAGGCAATTGAAATAGTTGGCTGCACACTCATGCTTACTACAGACAAGCTCACTGTACACACATGCTCACCACAGACAGGCTCCGACACACCCATGCTCCTTACAGACAAGCTCACTAACACACACACACATATGATCCCTACAGACAAGCTCACTGACACACATACAAGCTCACTCACTAGCAGGCACACACACACACACACAGGCTCCCTCACTAGCAGATGTGCGCACACACACACACAGAGGTAGACAGTCACTGACACCCAGGCAGACAGCCACACACACACAGGCAGACAGTCACTGACACCCAGGCAGACAGCCACACACACACAGGCAGACAGTCATTGACACCGAGGCAAACACCCACACATACAAAGACAGGCAGACAGCCACACACTCACACACAGGCAGACAGTCACACACACACACAGACAGTCACACACTCACAGACAGTCACACACTCACAGGCAGTCACACACAGACAGTCACACACAGACAGTCACACACTCACACAGACAGTCACACACTCACACAGTCACACACTCACACAGTTACACACTTACACAGGCAGTCACACACAGACAGTCACACACTCACAGGCAGTCACACACTCACAGGCAGTCACACACTCACACAGAGACAGTCACACACTCACAGTCACACACTCACACAGACAGTCACACACTCACAGGCAGTCACACACTTACACAGGCAGTCACACACACTCACACAGAGACAGTCACACACTCACAGGCAGTCACAGAGACAGTCACACACTCACAGGCAGTCACACACTCCACACAGAGACAGTCACACACTCACAGGACAGTCACACACTCACACAGACAGTCACACACTCACACACAGTCACACACTCACACACTCACACACTCACAGGCAGTCACACACTGACAGCAGCAGTCACACACAGACAGTCACACACTCACAGGCAGTCACACAGAGACAGTCCCACACTCACAGGCAGTCACACACTCACACAGAGACAGTCACACACTCACAGGCAGTCACACAGAGACAGTCACACACTCACAGGCAGTCACACACAGACAGTCACACACAGACAGTCACACACTCACAGGCAGTCACACAGACAGTCACACACACAGGCAGCACACACAGACAGTCACACACTCACACAGACAGTCACACACTCACAGGCAGTCACACAGAGACAGTCACACACTCACACAGACAGTCACACACTCACAGGCAGACACACAGAGACAGTCACACACTCACACAGAGACAGTCACACACTCACATAGAGACAGTCACACACTCACATAGAGACAGTCACACACAGATAGTCACACACTCACATAGAGACAGTCACACACAGACAGTCACACACTCACACTCACACACTGACCTCCTTCTTCCCTCCTGCTTGCAGCTCCTGGAGGCTGGTTGTTGGGGAAGCAGGGACTCCTACCTGCTTCCCATGCTGCAGTCAGCCAGGCCCCCGCCGCCGCCAAGCCCCGCCCCCGCCGCACGCTAAGCCCAGTTAGCCCCGCCCCGTCGCACTAAGCTCCGCCCCCGCCGCAAATTTTTTTTTTTTAATGATCCCGGCCGGCCGTGTGTGAGCTGTGCCGGCCGGCTCCCCCTGGCTCCCATGGGGCTCTGTGCGGCCGGAGCTGTCAGCCCAATGATTAGGGCTGTCAGATCGGCCCCAGGTGCCGCGGCCCACCGGGAAATTTCCCGGTATCCCGGTGGGCCAGTCCGGCCCTGCACGCTGTCGTAAATGCCGATCCAGAGCATCCCAAACATGCTCGATGGGTGACATGTCCGGTGAGCATGCTGGCCATGCAAGAACGGGGATGTGTGAGGTATATGGATTATCTTGGCAAAGGAGAAGTGCTCGCTAACACAGATTTAGACAGATTTGTGAACAATATTTGAGATAAATAGGCCTTTTGTGTACATAAAATACGTCTTAGATCTTTGAGTTCAGCTCAAAATGGGGCAAAAACAAAAGTGTTGCATTTATAATTTGCAATATTTTCCACAGAGAGAAGAGGATCTCCACAATATGTATGTCCAGAAGTAGGGGTACCATAATCACTAAGGTGCCCTTAATTATGTATAGAAAATAGTGTGACAACACACCGAGGTTTGATTGTTGATAAGGTACTCAGTTGCAGCAGAACAGCACTCCTTTACAATAATGACCCTCAGCGGTGAGAACATGACCCTGATAGGGCAGTGGTGACACAGGGGCCTTTAAAAAGAAAAAGGGTACTAGGCAGAAGAATCTGAGAGGGAGGAGACAAGAGGAAAAGTTAGCATTTAGGTAGATGGAAGCTTCTGTTTAGCTTTTCAGTGCAGGCTAGCTCATTGGCTGAGGGCATCGGCTTAGCTCAGACAGAGATCTTCCAGCTCTCTAAAGTTTGTAGTGGGTTTTCACTACTTACATAAAAGGGGGGGCCCAGAGCAGTAGGGGTACCATACCTGTTATTGTGCACTGTATTGGTTATGGTGCTCGGAATGTTCCTTTAAAGCTGTAGCTGCAGTGGGGTAGATGTTAAACTTACCTGAAACGCTCCCTCATCTGTTGTATACTTTTTACAAATGTAAGAGTATAAAACAACGGTCTGTGAAAGGATGTTGGACTCTGTGATGTGTTGGATGCCTTTTTTCCACAGTTGTTGCTAGTGGCTTCTGCTTGGAAAGTACAAATGTTGATAGTAGAGCTCCTCGTCCTTTGTCACAACTTTTGTCAACATCAATCTTGTCAGTAAGACAGAGTAGTAGTCCCTACTTAGTCTTATGGTCTGTCTTGATTGCATCAAAACTTCAATTAAATTGCAACACATCTAGTATGAGTGTTCCAGACAAACACAGATAAGTGACAGACATGCTATAAAAACAGGGATTGACTGGCAGACCTAAGAGCTGCCGGTGACCTGAAAGACTTAAGGAAAATGAGCAACCTAACAGACTTCAGGTAATGAAGGTGGAGGGATATTTAGGGAGAATAAAATTAGTTCCTTGCACCTTCTCCGAACAGAGACCCTGCAGTATATAGCCCCATGGCTTGTTCTCCTGTATTTTATTTATGTAATCAGAAATATATTGACTGCATTTAACCTTTTCAAAACCTTCTCTATTACACTTGTATATGGCTAGAAAGAAGGTTCACTTCTGACATGTATGAAATGAATATTGAGTAATCCTGCAGTATTGTAAGTCCAGAACATTTTATCAGTAAACCCTGCAGGAACTTGGGGCATTTTAGCACATCTCCTCTGCTGTTATTATGCTTGTCATGGCAATACTGTTTCTTCCACCTGTACAAATTAGGACTGCCCCAGGCAAACAAGGGCAATTTCTTCAGTACATCGAAAATATGTATTCTTTTACAAGACGTTAGAAGCAGATTTAAAAAAAAAAAAACAGCTTTGTGCACACGCTTAGCACTGTAATTTCATGTTTTTGGAAAGAAAAACAGTCAAAATTGCTATGAGCTTGAGCAATGTATTTCTTAACTAAATTTATATATGTTTATACACCCTATATGCACTTTGTTCCTTACAAATATGGAATTATTCCAAACACCATGATCACTTCAGTGTTTTGATGTGGTCATGGTGCACGGACCCTGTATGTTCAGCGTTTCAGTATGAAACCCTACACATATTGAGATGTTGTAGCTAGCTACCGGAGTTCAAACTCCATCTCCAGCTGCTTTCGTTACCTGGTCTTGAATGAAGGTTCCAGGCTGGCTAATGTTAGTTCTGTGTATATTCTATGCACATGTGCTCATTCATTGGTCGAGAGTACTCAGCTGACCATCTCAGCCATGAGTGAATGGCAGTATCGGCTTTGGCTTTTGCAGAAGCAGGATGTAATACAGCTGCCATTCATTGAGCCTCAGTGACCGGCACAACACAGGTAAATGGCAAACTGTTGAAAAACAGATATCTCTGTTACTGGGCAACACCACCTGGGTACTTCTGCCATCATAAACGCTACAGTAGGCTGTAGCAGTTATAATGCGTGTAGTAACCCTTTAATCTGAGTATACAAATGGTTGGCAGGCAATGAGTTAAGCCAATAGCCTGTTAGGTTTATGGTTTTTATTACAGTTTTCTTAACTGTTACCACTTTTTTTTTTGTCAATCTCTCCTTTTACAAAAATAGTATTCTAACATGAAAAGGATGTGAAAGATTATGAACATAATGTAATTTAGCAAATTGTAAGTTCTCTTTTTAAATATATTTTATATATTTTGCGATTATTAAAATGCTGAGATCTTTCTGTGTGCTGTCAGAAAGATTTGAGAACATGATTTGAACTAAACTGCTCTCAATGAATAATCTGACAGAAGGAAGTGCAAAATAAGGAAGGCCTAAGCAGGCTGTCTCGGTTACCACACCATTCACCATTTGTATTTTATACTTATTTTGATATCAATACAGTGTATTAAAACTGTATTGACATCCAACAGCTAAGTTCCTTCTCAGCCTCTCTACCAGAACAAATTGGGACAGTCAGGTGCATAAACAACTGTTTGTTCCAAATAGCCATAATTACCAACAGTAGTACTAAAAAAGAGCCTAACCCTAAAATCAATATAGAACAAAAATAGAAAACTCTATAAAATAAAAGGTATTCAGACCTAGAGAGACAAATTTGTTACAGTTCAAATTGCTACATTGGAAAAAAGGGAACCGAAGAGAAACAAATAAATAAAGTATTTACATTGTAACCTGCCACCCACTGCAACACACCGTCTACAGTGATTTGAAGTGGGTTACTTATCTGATAGCTCATATAATAGGTATATATGAGCGTGTTGGACATACCATTTCAAAACCATGAACAGGAATATGAATTGTGCCCACATTTTCTGGCTAACAGCTGCCATTCTTCTTGGAAGGCTTTTATCAAGATTTCGGATTGTGTCTGTGAGAATTTGTGCCCATTTAGCATTTGTGAGGTCAGGCACTGATGTTGTATGGGAAGGTCTGGCTTGCATTTAGTGTTATAGTGATGGGTATCTGCAAA